GAAGAAGGCAGGTTCAGCTGTAAGCTGTACAGTAGAAGAGGAAGAAGGAGGAGCAGCATGAACCACTCTTTAGAGACGTTTCAATCCCAGGGGCTGACAGAGTGGGTAGTGCTGGGTGATTACGTGAATGGATGCAAAGAGGTTTGGAGTCACCTTCATTTTGTTTTTGGAGGTTGAAAAACCCTTTTACAGATTGAGGGGAAGAGGACAGGAGAAGAGGAGCGTGAATGTGTAGGACAGAGAAAAGGTGGCCACACAAGAGCTCCAGAGGTGGGGCGATGTCCAGATGAGGGAATTTCAAGCAGGAAGAGGGGATCCTACTCTCATGATCAACTCCTATTTGCCTCTTTTCTTCAGTCATAGAGGTATTAGTGAGAGTCCTAAGCAGTAATGTGGTTTGATGTTCCCTGGGAAGAATATTGCCAATTCAATGTTCAAAATGACATCTTTAATAAAAAGGTGTGTTTTGGTTGTTGTGGAGGTAGTGGGGATTGAACTCATGGCCTCATGTGTGTACTAGGCAAGCGCTCTATCATCTGAGCTGCACCCCAAACTCCTTTGTTCCTTTTTTTTTGAGACAGGGTCTCACTAACTGTCTAGGTTGACCTTTAACTCATGATCCTCTTCCCTTTGCCTCCTGAATATCTGGGATTACAGTTGTGCACAATCATGCCCAGCTAGAAGATATGTTTTTATACTTGCTTTAACACTCTTCTGAAAACCAGAGCAGGAGTAAAAAATGCTCTTTAATGAATTAGAGGATACATCCACTTACCTTTCTGTTCTTAGAATTTTGTGACTCCATATTTCTAGCTTTTTGGGCCTAAACTGCAAATTTAGTTGTCTTTTTATTTTTGTGCTGGAGTTGGAACCCAGGGCCTTCTGCACGCTCTACCACTGAGCCACATGCCCAGCCCAGAGTTCAATTTTAGTTATTAGAAATCTCAAGGATTTCGTAGATGTATCCATCTGGGGAAAAGGAGGAGGAAAAGGTAGTGCTTCTGAGGTGTGCTGCTTGATTGGTTAGGTGAGTAGTAACAAGGAAATTACTCTAGTGATGACGCTTTTATTCTTCATAATCACAACACGTATATGTTAGTCACACTTTTTGTTGCTGTGACAAAATACCTGACAGAACATTTTAAAAGGAAGGCTTCTGAGATTCCAGTCCATGGTCAGCAGCTCTGTTTCTAGGTCATGATGAAGCAGAGAGAGTATCATGGCACAGGGCATGGTGAGCACAGTCGATCCCCTCATGGCAGCCAGGAAGAGGCGGGTGGCGGTGGGGGGGGGGACTGGTAAGGGACAGCATAAGCCCCCAAGGACACGCTCCCAGTGACCTGCTTCCTCCAGCCAGGCCCTGTTTTCCTAAAGCGTCCGGGACCTTCCAAAGCAGTGCCACCAGCTGGGGACCGAGCCTGGTACAAGAGCCTTTTGTGGGATGGGGAGCACTTCATATCAAAACCATAACAATTTACGAAAAGCTTCATGGGCTGAGGTTGCAGCTTAGTGGCAGAGCACTTGTCATGCCTGTACAAGGCCCTTAAAGCAAGAAGCTTTATGACATGTGACAGTCCCTCACTATGTTGGCTTATTTAATATTTATAAAAATCCTTTTATATGGGAATGACAGCTTTCATCTCTAAAATTAATGCTGCTAAAATATTAGGCAATATTTGGAATTAACAGCAAAGAAAATAACTATAAAAAATTTTTTTCTATCAGCCCAGGCCTTGTTATTTTTCATGAGACACTCCCTACAATTGTAGTTACTGTACTTAAAGACATAATAGAATTAGGGAACGTCCAAAAGTTTTTGGTTACAGTCAACCATTTTTCTAGTGCTGTAAGGGATCCTACGAAGCTGTGACGACTCCTGCCCCTCAGTGAGCCCAGGGCTTGCTGGGGAGAGGAGAAGACTGTGCACAGGTGGTTATACAGGCTGGGCATCTGTAATCTGAAACACTGAAATCCAAGACTTGTCAAGAAATTGAAGATTTTGGAATTTTCAGAGTAGGTGTACTCAACTGGCAATGCCTATAAATCTATGACTCTGAAGACTCCCAAATCTGAAGCACTTCAGGGGCCTAGCACTTTGAATAAGAGAACTCAACCTGTAATATGAGACGAGAGCAGCCATGAAGTTCTGCAGGGGAGGAGGACGGCAGTCTGCTGGCTGCCTAAAAGGGCTGGATGGTAGAGTGCTCAATGGCAGAGGGCTAATATTTTAGGCATTATTCAGCCCGTGAGTTCAAGCACCAGTATTGCCGAGAGAGAGATGAGATGAGAGTCAGGGATGGACGGCGGGAGGAAGACAGAGAGAGAGAGAGAACTTAAAACTTTATTAAAGCAATTGTTAAACTTAGTGAAGTTTAGGAGCTAATTTTTTAATAAATGAATGTCTTTGGCATATGTTTAGTAACTATAAAAAAACATATAAGCTGGGAATGTGGCTCAAGTAGTAGATGACTTGCTTAGCAAGTGTGAGGCCCTGAGTTCAAACCCCAGGACCCCACTACCACTAAAAAACAACAACAAAAAAGAAACAAGACAAGCTTACATTGTTACTGAGAAATCAAGTGGTTCTGAATGTGAACCTGATGCTTTGAAATTGAACATAACAATCTATTTCCTAATATTTTGCTAGGTAAACAGTAGTGGCTTGTAGGTTTCATCTAGAAGTAAAATGTTTAGAGAGAAAAACATCCTAGATATTGATACAGAAACAATTCAAATGAAAAACTATTGACTTTTTTCTTTAGACTTTGAAGTTTTTTTGTTTTTTGTTTTTTTTAATTGTTTGAACTCAGGGCCTTATGGCTTGGTAGACAGATCCTCTTATCACTTGGGCCACTCTTCCAACCCATAGAGTTTGAAGTTCTTGAATGGTGACTCTAAAATACTTTAATCTTACTCTTTCTACTTTTAAAACTAAGGACCCCATAGATCTTGAATACAAGATTCTAGCTTGTTTCTACTGATAATTACTATTACAAATTAAAACTTGAAAAACTTTAGAAGATGTTAATTCATTTAAAAATGAAAACATTGACCCATTATATATGTCTATAACAGTAATTATTTTCCAGTAGAAAGAAATTAATGAGAAGAGTGGAATTGTTTTACATTTGTGCAAATCTCCTTAGTTGGCTTAGTTGAAGACAGTTGGATTCTGCTGCATTCAGGCTGTTACGTGTCACCCATCATGTAGCTTCTGGAAAACACTATACTCAAAAAAGAAAATTAAAAAGGCAAGTGATAGTTATTTGGAAAAGGCTTTGACTTTGAGGATCCACTGACGTCGTCAATTTGAATGCTGTTGTTCTTAAATAAGAAATTTCAGTTACACATACAAATAAAGCATGTCTTTACCCCACTACACTGTCACTGAAAGTAAATTTTCCCAAGAATATTTTGATGTCCCTCATACTATACCATAAAAGGCCTATAATCTATCTGAATTAGAGATCATATCCAGGCAGAATTTGTTAGTCTTAACTGACCTTTTACCCTTTTTGTCTAATGATGTGTGTGTCTAGTCCTGTTTCTTGTATTTTTCTTCCTGATTTCTCACTTTATTGATAAACTAATTAGGTGTTTTTAACTGGAGACTGAGGAGGGCAAGAGGACTATTTGTGGGACTCTTATCTTTGTGAAATGGGAGGCTTCCCGGAGGGAAGGAAAGCCACATGTTACCTGCTGTCTGAATTTCAAAAGGTAAATCTATGGGCACTGAAGAGCACTTCCTTCAGGCCTGCCTAGAATGATGAAGAAGTATCTCTAGAAAATAGCAACACTTCAAGATTTATCTCCAGTTGGAAATGCGTGAGCCTAAAAGTTATAGTCTTCTAGAGTTTCGCTACCTTTTGTCCATCAGATGCACCATGTCTGCTTGCTCTCCTATCTATTCAGCCTCATCAGTCCCAACTTCACCTGAATCCAAACAAAGAATGATGTATCTGTGTCCAAGAAGAAGCAAGTACCTGCTTTTTTTTTTTTTTAAGGATATCTCCAGAATCTCTCCATTCTCACACCCACCAACCTTGTTCTGTTTCTATTTGAACAGCCTGTTGGACTTTTGACTGAAGACTTCTTTTGTCAATCCATCCTATATGGCATTTCCTGGTTAATTTTGTCTAGGTATTACCATTATCATGCTACTCCTTTGTTCAGAAATCTTCAGTGATGGCATAATTTGTACCATGGCACAAATATGCCATACTTATGTTCTCCTCCTGCTTTTCCCTGAGGCCTTCATCTGAAGTATTCACAATAGTTTTGCTGTTTCCCTACAGTCCTATGAATACAAGCTCTATGTTTTACCTTTGTGCTTGTCTTCATACTGTTCCTCTTGCCTAATATGTCTTATTATTCTCCTTCAGTTGAACCCAATGGATTCTTCAGAAGCCAATTCAAGGGTGGATATGGTGGTGCATGCCTGTAATCCCAGCTGCTTAGGAGGTAGAAGATAGGAGGATTGTGGTTTGAGGCCCACTCAGGCAAAAGTAGGAGACCATATTTGAAAACAAACTAAATGGCAAAAAAGGATTGAGGAATGGTCCAAGTGGTCAGGTGCAAGACCCTGAGTTCAATCCCCAGTACTGCAAAAAAAAAAAAAAAAAAACCAAGCCAATTCAAAACTGATTCCAACAAATGGTTTTTACCTGACTAGTTTGTCTTTATTTCCTTTCCTCTGATATATAGTAGTATTTGAAGTTTATATCATACTGTTGGGTGTGTAATTATCTACCATTATTGTTTTTCTTTTACCTATGTTGATCTTTTCTCTCCAATGGATAGTTTCTTGAGACCCTGTCTAGAATATAATTCTGGGAAACCCCAGACTCTAAGATGGCCAGTGCGTTTTCCAAAATCTTCACTAAGGTAGATTGATCTTATCTGAGAGCAGGAGTTCAAGTCTGATGAAACTGTCTGGCAGTGATATTTCTAAGGGTGGTTGTCATGTGTTCATCCTTAGTTTGTCAAATTGTATCCCATAGCTATTTCTGCATTTGAAGTTCAGCCAGTTTCCACTGAGGTCCACGAAGGTGGAGTCGCTAGATTCACCTGCAAGATTTCATCAAACCCTCCCGCAGCTATAACATGGGAATTCAACCGGACAACTCTGCCTATCACTATGGACAGGTAAATAGAACTTTTTTCCTTTGGAGGTGACACAGAAGAAATTCATAAGAGGCTTCAGAGGGGAAAAAGATGGTTGTGAGGCTCATTTTTTTCACTTAGGGTGGCAATAGTTGATTTCCTAAGACACTTCAGACTCAGGGAAAGAAATCTCTGACCGCATGGGGCATAGGTACTTGTTCAGCTTAGAATTCAAGTAGGTTATCTACCATCCTGCTCCTCTCTTCAGCCATTTGTTCAACCATGTGTCCATGTGAATATTTGAATCATTGCCCAAGTTTTTGTCAAATTACACTTTCAGTTCTGGGAAGAGTGGGGCTGGTATAGGGTCTCCCATTTATACCCTGGTAGCTGTCCACTTCTACGTCTTTGTTTTCTTTCCAGGGCTCTCTTCACTGTACGCACATGCTTGTACACACACACATGCACACGTACATGTTTAGTGTTCTGAAGGTAGTTGGGGGCTTAGCAGTCAAGAACTTGATAGCAATTCCTACAAAGTCTGATTCCTGCCATACTCTGAAGTCCTCAGAAATCATTTCCAAAAATGCTGGAATACTAACATAGAAAGTTATTCAAGGATTCATGTTATTTAAAAACAAACAAACATATGCAGGTATATCTTAGAGAATACATAGATATTAATAGGTCAAAAAGAGCAATTTGACAACATTATTCTGGGCCATCAGGTAGCTAAATTTAAGCTAGAATGTCAAATGACACCCTTTATGTAAAATTATATACAATTAAACCATATCCTACAGCATTACTTATACTTTAGAGGTCTTTAGGGACCCAACTGAAAACAATAGAATTAAGCTAATGTTTTTGTTTGGTTCCATTTTTCAGTGTTAGGGATTGCACCTAGGACCTCAAGCATACAAGGCAAACTGCTCCACCACTAAGCTACACCCAGCTCAAGCTAGTATGTTGAGGGGTTTTAAAAGTTAACACTGTAACAATATTAAGTTGTGTTAATTCCTGTGGAAGGATATGTTAAGTAAAATATAAAATGTACTACAAAAGTTTAATTGTGTTTCTTCTCCTAACAGGATAACTGCCCTTCCCATGGGAGTGTTGCAGATCTATGAGGTTGGCCTAATGGATGCTGGGAATTATCGGTGTGTTGCTGCTACTGTAGGTCACAGACGTAAAAGCATGGAGGCCTCTCTGTCAGTGATTCCAGGTACCATACTGACATGGCTTTTTCCAGCTGTGTGAGATTTTATTGGCCATCCTGTGGTTGTAATAGTATTCCATAAGGCAATTTTGATTTCATTGGCATCACTGTAATCAGTTTGGGAAATGATCATTTTTATCAATTAAGCAAATCTTTCCCAGGCCAACTTGTTTTCTGTTACGTCATCTTCTCTAAGAAAGGTCGACTGTTTTGTTTAGAAATGTTTCCATCCACCTTTGTTTTTAAAACCAGAAAATACCAAAAAAAAATAAATAAATAATAATGAAAACAGGTATTTTCATCAGAACTGTCCATTGTCAATAAAGATGTTTGTTTGCAACCTGGTATTCTTTTGTTTATTGTTTTAAGAACTAACTCCTAATAGATATGGGTTTCTTTGGGGGAGGTGATGAAAATGTTTTAAAATTAATTGCATTAATAGTTGCATGACTCTGAAAATTCTAAAAACCATTGAATTATACGCTTCAAATAGGTGAATTGTATGGTAAATGAGTGACATCTCAATAAAGCTTAAACAAGTTTCTAATTTAAAAAAAAAGAAGTAAGTCAGGGCACAGTAGCTCTAGCCTATAATCCTAGCTACTCAGGAGGCAGAGATTGGGAGGCCAGCCTGGGCAAAAAGTTCTCAAGATCCCATCTCAACCAATAAGAGCTGGGCATGACCACCATGCATGCCTGCCACCCCAGCTACGTGGGAATACACCGATAGGATGGAGGTCCAGGCTGGCTCAGGCGTGAATCAAAAACAACTACGGCAAAATGGGCTGGTGGTATGGCTCACGTGGTAGAGTGCCTTCCTAGCAAGCGTGAAGCCCTGAGTTCAAACCCCAGTACTGCCAAAAAAAAAAGTGATTAAGAATTGATGCTGTAACATAGCTTACTTGTGTCTTATAATTTATTTTTGTATTCTGTCTTTTCCTCCCCAAAGCTAAGGAGTCTGAATCCTTCTATACACCCACCATTGTAGCAGGTCCACAGAATGTAACAGTGTCTCTTCATCAGACTGTTGTTTTAGAATGCATGGCCACAGGAAACCCCAAACCAATCATTTCCTGGAGCCGTCTTGGTAAGTCTTGGAGGTGGGGATGGATCTCATCCCTAAACTGTGTTCCTTCTAGTGAAACTGATAAAAATGTTTGCTTTATGGATAAAACTCACATTTGACAATTGCTAATGAACAACTTCTTTTTGGCATTTTTCCATGCGTTGAAGCTCTTTTTGTGATTGGGCACTTGAATAGGAGTCTTTTGACATAATTTCAGGTTGTATGTACATTGTTTGAACTGAAGTATTCTCTTTGGAGCAGATCACAAGTCCATTGATGTCTTTAATACACGGGTACTTGGGAATGGTAATCTCATGATATCTGACGTCAAACTGCAGCACGCCGGAGTGTATGTTTGCAGGGCCACTACACCAGGCACCCGCAACTTTACAGTTGCCATGGCAACTTTAACTGTGTTAGGTATGTTCTCTTCTATTCTGTAATCAGGAGAATCTCACGTTTTCATGTTTGCCATTTTTGTCTCATTCATCACTTATTTCTACCTTTCCTAAGTTTTGTAGCATTAGTAATGAGTGTTGACAATAAGTATTGTGTAATCCAATAGTCAGTTTTTAGGAGAAAATTGAATTTCTTGTTAAATTATAGCTGTAGTCACCATCCTGTTTGCACCAGTACATTATGTCCCTTTTTATTTAAGCTTCTCTTTCTTCTCATCTACACACATATCTATACCCATTCAACAGTCTGAAATTGTAATCTAGCGACCTTCTGTATGAATTCACAAGTGGCCCTGTATGGGGCTTAGTCACCAGGGCTGTGGGTATGCACACTTGTGGTGAGATCATATAAACATCTCAGTAGGGGAGGTGGACAGAAGTTAAGCAATGCAGAGATAAGTCACCTGCATGGACGGGAGACATGGGCAGGCGGCTTAGAAAATCAAACAGTTTCCCCTGAGAAGCTGTTCCTCATGTGGCTGGTTTCATTTACTATATTCTTTCTTGACTCTGTTATTCCTTTTGTGACCACAAAACTTTTTTTCTTTAAAAAATAGCTCCTCCTTCATTTGTTGAATGGCCGGAAAGCTTAACCAGACCTCGGGCTGGCACTGCCCGATTTGTATGTCAGGCAGAAGGAATCCCCTCGCCCAAAATGTCCTGGTTAAAAAATGGAAGGAAGATACATTCAAATGGGAGAATTAAAATGTACAACAGGTGGGTATGTCATTTTGCTACTATTTCATGCAAGATGTAATGACTTCATTAGATTTTATGTGAAATGGTTATAATAATATCAAATACCTAAATAATTTTGATAGTTAAAAACAAATTTAAGTAAGAAATTAACTTAAGATTCATAGCACTAGCATGCCATAGAGCCTTTTGTATTTTACACCTGGATCGTGGAAGTGGTAGATACAATAAAAAAATGCTGGACAATTTCCCAGGCCTTCTTTCTGGTCCTGGGAAGTAAGCATTAACTCTTTGGGGTCTCAGTTCCTTCCTCCAGGTGAAAAAATTAGAAGGATATAATTTATTCTTTTAAGAATTCCTCCAAAGTGTTCAAATTAATGACTTTAAGAATTCAGTTTTCTTAATATATATATTAAGAAAAAATATACATATTCTTATCAGTTCTCATTTTTGTTGAACAAGCCTTTAAAAATTTTTGTTGACCTGCATTTTGTATACATTGTAATGTACTTTCTGAATAAAGGTCAAATTTTAAAAAGGAAATTAAGTTGCCACCTGAAGCAAAGAGAATTTGGCCAGATGTGGTGGTGCATGCCTGTGGTCTTGGGAGGCAGAGGCAGGAAAGGGGGGGAGTTCAAGGACAACCTGAGCTAGATGGTGAATTACAGGCCAGTCTGTGCTGCATAGTGAGACCCTATTTAAAAAACAAAACAAAAAGGATTTTGGTACCATAAATACTTATGAAGTCTCAGAAAACAAATAAGAGTGATTTTCAGTAATACAGGGTATTTTTAATTAGGGCTGACGATACAAGTTTTTGTTCTCAAGCTCTTGTCATTTGAGATAAAAGTGCACTCAGCAACCACTGAACTTTATCATTACATCATTCTTGGAATTTTTCATGGGTATAAACAGATGTGTTCTTTCCTCAGTAAATTGGTAATTAATCAGATCATTCCTGAAGATGATGCTATTTATCAGTGCATGGCTGAGAACAGCCAAGGATCTATTCTGTCGAGAGCCAGACTGACCGTCGTCATGTCAGAAGACAGACCTAGTGCTCCCTGTAATGTGCACGCTGAAACCATGTCGAGCTCAGCCATCCTTTTAGCCTGGGAGAGGCCACTGTACAACTCAGACAAGGTCATTGCCTACTCTGTGCACTACATGAAAGCGGAAGGTAAGAGCTCAGGTGTGTTCCTTACGTGCCTCCCACTGGCCATCAGGAGTGAACCGTCTTATGGAGCCCACAAAATATTTGTGAAATCCCATAGCAGTTATCTCTTTAATAACATAATGGATGACCCATTTTTTTCTGAGTTTTCTGTGGTTCCATACTTTGTACATGTTAGTGTAGTTTAAGACTTTTCTGTATAGAAACAAGTACCAGTGAATGCAGTGTCTCTGCTGCAAACTATTTTGTACTTAGGAGTTTTGTGCCAGACAGGGTGTAAATTCCCTAAAGTTAACACCAATTAAGTATTCAGTTACATAGGAACAGTGTGTGACTATTGAATAAAATAACATAGTAAATTTACAGATTCTATAGCATGTTTTTAAGGGGATTCTTCATATTCTTAATTCTGTACATTTTGAATGTTTTCTGAAATCGTGGCACTCTGAACATTGAGCAAGACACTTTACTAATATTTCTTTTACTATAAAAATCAATATCAAATCTCTTAAAATTCTTATTTAGAATTACTGGTTTCATTTTTGGTATCATTTCCACACACACTTCCCGCCCCCCACTCCGGTATCTTACGTTTGGCCAAAATCTTAGAAGAAAAGAAAATGAAAAGCAACTTACATGGTAGAGGTTTACAAATTTTACTTCTGTCCACACACAGCTATATATATTAAAAACGAATTCAAACACGAAAGGATGGTAATGTTAAAATGGTCCATAGAGACAGGTGTTTTGTTGTAGCTGTTATTTTATTTTTTTTGCACTTTGAAGTGGTGCTTTGAAAAGGAATATTTTGAATGTAAATCGGGGTCATGGCAGCAAGAAGAATGGAAGTCTGATAACTGGGCAAGGTGGAGTATGTTAATTCTCTTTCCAGTGATTTAGGAAAGTGAAAAGGAGTGCTGGTTAAGGTGGGGACCACTCTTATTTGCTATTATGGTGGACTCATTAGAGTCTCTGTGTGTGCTCAGTGGTCTATTCAGAAAAAGAACAAGGCTTTTTAATTCGAACTCAAGGACCTTGTTTGGTAGGTCAGAAATCGTACTATGCAGCTCCTAATTAACGAGCCATTAGCCAGCCTGTTGTGAAATGCCTGTAATCTTGTCTAATTAAAATGCTATCAAGTTAATCCAGAAATGTGGGAAAACTTAATACTGGAATTTGCCTTCTGTTTTGTTTATAAATGCGGTGTGGGGAGAGGGGACTCGGTCTTAGAGAGTTCTGATGAAGTTGACTTGCATTTACTGGGAATTGTTAGCAGAGCACAGTAGCTGCCAGGGCTCTCCGCTCTGTAGGAATTCAGCCCCACAAAGACAAGTCCTCTTCTGTACCTTGCCATGCATATTTTATTAAGAATTGCTGAGGATTTTTTTTTTCTTTTTTTAAAAAAATAAAAGCTCACTGTGGGACAAAGTATTTTGAAGCACATTCTATGCCTCCCAGTTCCTTTGCTTTCAGTATAAATAAAAGGAGAACTTGTGTCAGGCAAATTTAATAAGAATCTCTAGGGGCAAAATGAGATCTTTTACAGGACAAATTTTGGTTTGGTTTGTTTTTATAAAGAATAGTCTTTGCATTCCCTACTGTCCCTCTATTTATGTTTGAAAGCATAAAGAAACCGCTAACTTACACAAGTAAAATTTACATTGTTACAAGTTACTCTTCTGTTGTGTGAAGCTCTGTTGTTTACCACCGTACATTGTCTGTGCTGTATGTTTTTACTAGGTGGCAAATGAAGTTGAGAGATTAATTCTTTGCAGTTGGATTTATTCTGGAGAAATTCAGAGTAGTAATTGGTAGCAAGACAAATTACTTGATCTCTTTTAGAAAATAAAAAGATCTTTCTGTTCACAAGGGGGTTTTGTACAGATGGTCATTAAAGATAAGAAATATGAGAACTAAGAACCAGTATTTTTTATGCTGACAGAAAATGGTCGGCTAATTTTGTTTTGAGTAATCATAACTTTTAAATGTGGATTCTTTAATTTAGGTTTAAATAATGAAGAATATCAAGTAGTCCTGGGAAATGACACAACTCATTATATTATTGATGACTTAGAACCTGCCAGCAATTATACTTTCTACATTGTGGCATACATGCCAATGGGAGCCAGCCAGATGTCCGACCATGTGATCCAGAATACTCTTGAGGATGGTGAGGGAGCATGATTAACTAAAAGTTTTATATATTTAATCAGAATTTAATTTATTTTTAATATATTTTATATATTTAATATTGTTTGCTTTTACTTTTTTGGTTGGTACTGGGAAGTTTTTTTGAAATTTTTTTTTAATTAGGGTATACTTGTTTAGAGGGGATCCATTGTGACAATTCTGAATAGGCTCACATTGTACATTGGTTAAATTGCCCCCACGGGTACTGGGTTTTAAACTCAGGGCTTCTTATTTGTGAGACAGGCACTCGACAGCTTGAATCATGCATGCCTCTAGTTCTAAAAGTATGTTTTAAGTGAGAGAAAATAATCTTTATGGCTAAAAAAACCCCAGATAAGTTTAACAGCAGGCTAGTTTGCCATTTCAAATCTGACTTGCCTTTTGCCAGCAACATGAAGATGGAGAACATTTCTATTTATAATTCATAAGAAAAATTTTAGTAATTTTTTTATACTGTTATGTTCCCTAGTGAAATTATAAATATGCTGCAGTTTTTTCAAATCAAACAGAACAAAATGTAGATTTTTTTTAGGCATGGCTAATATAGTGAATGTCGCTCATTGAGGGATGGTTATAGGGATTGGTCTTCTGAAACTGGGCATTTATGAAACTTTGTGTCTGTCAGTTACAAAAATCCTTAGATAATCAAACAGTACCTAGTTTATTTTTACCTGCTTACATTACTTGGTCAGTTTGTTCCTTGACCATCGAGTTACAGTTCTTTTGAGGAAGAGCAGGTCCCCATCCACTGTGATAACGTGGGGAAATTCCATCCATCAAGGTAGTCTCAGAGCACTGGCCCTCCCTGTGGAGAGAGAGAAAGGCTCTCTTTCCAGGGGCTGTAGAGGGCGGAGTTTTGTACCCTGTAGTGTGAAAGGTAATTATTTAACATACGCTTAATTGCACTTTTCTCCCTTCATTGATGTTTTCTCATTGTCAGGGAATAATCTGCTCTTAGTTTTCAAAACATCTTTATATAAGTAATTCCCAAGTCTGCTTTTTGTTCATTTGGTCCCACATCTTAGATCTTTAAAGACCACTTACTTAGATGTTTATAAATTCAGAGTTGGACCAAATGACAAAAGTTTCACTCATCTGGATGCTGAATTCCAAATTTTAGTTTTCATTTAAGTGGGTTCTACTTTACAACAGGTGTAGTGGTGCACAGCTGGAACCCCAGAATTCAGGAGGCAGAAGCAGGAGGGTCTTGAGTTCAAGGCCAGCCTGGGCTACACAGATGGTCTTAAAAAAAAAAAGAGGTCTTTTGTTTTAGAATGAGCCACGGTATATATGACATCTGTATACAGTTGTCACATTACATTTAACAACCTCTGTTATGTTTGTCTAAGGTGAAACATGGGCCAGTTTGGGTAGGGGGCAGGGAAATGAGTGGGGTATGTTCTTCCTCTACATTCTTGAAGAAAATGACTCTAACCACAGCAAGCTACCTGTTGAGGTGTGGCCCTCCAGTTACATTAAATTCTCCTTTAACCCTTTCCTTCTTTTTGTTTTTTTTTTTGGACAGCACTGAGTCCTTCTGATACTGCTTTTCAAATTTCTTCACCAGTTTCTCCCCATTTCTTAAGCCCACAGCTTTCAGTCTGAGCTGGGTGGGTCTCTTAGGCTGCACGGCAGTGTGTCACAGATCTAGTAATGCTGAAGGAGTACATCCTACCTTCCTGTTCTATTCTCTTATCCATCCCTACCTAACTCTGTGGCGGGGGAGGTAGGCATACACAGAGGCCACAGTGTGGAGGACAGTTGTGGGTTTTGTCTGTTCTGTCTGGGTCTGGTCACACAAGGTCTTTATCCTCTCTGTACCTTAGTTCCCTTAACTGTAAAGTGGTAGTGCAAATGGTGCTTCCTGCAATGAGTTTCTGTGAGAATCAATGGTTCATATGTATAAAGGACTAAGAAGCTTTTAAATGGATTTTTAAAATTTTCCACCTGCTCTTTCTTTCATTCAACAAATATTCATTGAGTATTTGCTATATGTTACTCAGTATTTAGTGTGAGCAAAACACAAGAAAATTTGTCCCTAATCTCATGGAGATAATTTTCTAGTGGGAGAGGGGTGCCCAGGAACAATAAACCAGATGAACAGTAAATTATATACTGTGTTAGAGAAAGAGCACGAAATACGCAAGGAAGTAGGACAGAAATGGTAGAGGAATTTGAGACCTTAGACAGTCACCAACACAGCAGCAGGGAGGACTTGATGAGCGAGGAATTGGAAATAAGGGTGTTGGCCAGGCCGGTGATAGACAGGAGCACTGGGCAGAGGAGATGGAGTTACAAGAGTTCTGCTCAAGCTTGGCCAGAGTGGGAAAAGCAGGCGGAGGTGACACAAGAGAGTGATGGGCAGCCAGCTACATGGCTAGATAGGGCTTTGCATGAAGCTGTAATGAGGACTGTGGCTTTTCCTTTGAGTGAAGGAGAATCGTTTGGACAAGGAGTGTCCGACTTGCATTTCAACAGGCTAGAATGTTGGAAATAGATGGTAGAGCAGAGGAGGGAAAGCTGTTAGTGTGTTCCAACAGTACAGGCTAGTGAGTGATGGTAGCATGTACCAAGAGCAGCAGGGAAGTGGGACAGCCACAGGAGTGAAAGTGAAGAGTGTGTGGAGGAGTCAAGGATGACAGGAAGGCTGAACAGATGGTTGCCATTAACCAAAACAGGAAAAAGCACAGAAGGAGCTATTCTTACCTCCATTTTGTATATGAAGAAACCTAGACACAGAGAAGTTAATTTGCCAAGATCACACAGAGCAAAGATTCAAACACAGTTAAGAACCCAAGTTTTAACTATTATACTGCCTCATTTTACTCATTTTCCTGGAATTCCAGTTTTATCCAAATTATTGGAGGGAAACTTTTCCTATTAAATATCATGTTATAATTAGAAATACAAACTTCACATTAGTTTTAGGATATGACTCTTGCACTTCAAAAAATTATTTTTCAGGTTATAATCCTAGAGTTCGATGCTTCCCCACTTTGGATAATTCATGCTCCCTTGCTTCAAAAGCATTTTGGTAGAATTATTTGAGAAGTCGTCTCATTTTTAATATGAATGCTAAGTGCTCTCACGTTCATCCCAAACAGCAGCCTAACAACCACAACAAAAGTGATAAAAAGCCACATGTGGTGGTGGCTCACACTTACAATCCTAGCTACTCTGGAGATGAGTGGAGACCAGGAGTGTTGTGGTTTGAAACCAGCTTAGGCAAAAAGTTCATGAGACTCCCATCCCAGCCAATATAAACTGTGTGTGGTAGCCTGTGCCTGTGTCCTGGTTACATGGGAAGCATAAACAAGATTGCAGTCCAGGCTAACCCCAGCCATAAAAATGAGACTGTTGAAAAAATAGCTAAAACAATAAGGGCTGGAGGCGTGGCTCAAGTGATAGAGCCCCTGTGTAGCAAGCCCAAGGCCCTGAGTTCAAACCCCGGTACCACCAAAGGAAAAGAAACCCAAAGTGATGGAAGCCTTATTTTCTTTGCTTCCATGCTCTTGATAACCTTTTTCTGTATTTTTTCTGGCTTATTCTCTGCATCACTGCCTCATTTTACTCATTTTACCTCTGCTAGAGGTAAAAGTATCTCTTACCATGTTATGCATTGCTTTTAAGAGACTTCAATAACCTTTGTTGTGCTGTAGCCACTTGGCTCCAAATGTTGATAAACAAATGCGTTTTCTCTTATGAGTAGTTCCCCTGAGACCTCCTGAAATCAGTTTGACAAGCCGAAGTCCCACCGACATTCTCATCTCCTGGCTTCCGATCCCAGCCAAGTACCGGCGGGGCCAAGTCTTGTTGTATCGCTTGTCCTTCCGCCTAAGTACTGAGAACACCATCCAAGTCCTGGAGCTCCCGGGGACCGCGCACGAGCACCTTCTGGAAGGCCTGAAGCCTGATAGTGTCTACCTCGTCCGGATTGCTGCTGCCACCCGCGTGGGGCTGGGAGAGTCATCGGTGTGGACGTCACATAAGACGCCCAGAGCTGCCAGTGTGAAAGGTAACCCAGGCACTAGGCAGGAAGAAAAACAGCGTTTTCACTTTTCAGTTGAACTGTTCCTCTCTTAGTCATATTTATATTTTTAATTTTTATAAACAAAAATCTTCCATGGGTCATAGACTTAACTGAAAAAAAAGTAAACCTTTTATTTAGTAATCCCCTTCCACGTAGAGATCATTGTGGGTAAGACTGTTGGTTATACTATCAGCTAGCTTAACAAACTCTTCATGAACAGATAAGCTGTAGCCAAACTGAATTATCAGAAGTGGTCTATTACCAGAGACCTAATTAATATAATGACCATACTTTTTTAAGTCATCGATTCAAAGGATAAAAACCTAATACTAGGAACTTACAGGCCCTTCTCTTTAACTCGTGAGGAATGTAAACATGACCAGTTTTGTTACTGTTATTTGATTGATAATAACGCCTGTTCTCTCTACCACAGAGGAATATTAGATGGTCAAAATTAGAAAATATTTATTGTCTTTCTGAAAAAATTACATACAAATCCTTGTATCAATATTATTTTATAATTATTTATGTATTTTAGTCTTTAGGTAGTATATTCTTTTTTATTCCTTCCATACCATGTCTCCCCATTCATAATCCAGACCAGGCATAGGACCTGCACCGAATATGGGGTGTGGGCTGTGTAGAGGGCAGGTTTACTTTCCCTCCTCTTTTATACAGTCAGTGTAAGAACTCAGCCTGTGGTCAGCAACAGGAGGGCAGTACCTTAATTCTGTGTCAAAGTTTAGTATCACTGTGAAATTTTGTATGTTGAAGTGTAGTAATTGGACTTGAACTGTTTTGTAATTATTGGCTTAAAGCCAGGAGGTCTGTATTATTCTTTGTCTTCCTGTGAATTATGGTCTATGTAGCCTACATTTTCTGGTGAATTTTTCCAGCCCCTAAGTCTCCAGAACTGCATTTGGAGCCTCTGAACTGCACCACCATTTCTGTGAAATGGCAGCAGGATGCTGAGGACCCTGCGGCCATTCAGGGCTACAAGCTGTTCTACAAAGAGGAAGGGCAGCAGGAGCACGGACCTATTTTCTTAGACACTAACGACCTTCTCCACACACTCAGCGGCTTGGGTGAGCGAGTGGGCACTGGGCTTTTTTTTTTTATTGTTCCCCTCTTGCCAGTTAGGAAAAAATTGGGGCTAAGGCAGGAGAACTGACTTGATGCTGCAAAGAAAACTTGATTTTACTATGTCACTATGTATGTGGTGCATCTTAAGCGGGCAGGTGTCAGGTAGCCATGCTGTCTTTCTGTCTTTCTTGCAGCTCTGAGAATCAGCTGTTCTTTCTTGAGTTCACTTCTAGTAGAGGAAGACCCTGATTGATTATTGTGGATATATTAGATGTAGAAGCCTCTCGTCCCTCTCTGTGTTCACAGAGGGCTCCCACAGGCCTCTGCTGAGTGAGTCCTCACCAAGGCCCTTACATCTGCCTCTCCCTCCCAGGGTCACCACACCACAGCCCCTGAAGGGCTCCAGCCATCTTCTGAGCGGCTTGGTGGAGCTAGTCTCTGCTCTAACCCCAGTGAGTCAGGCCTTTTATGTGATTCCTCCAGAATCTTATGGTGTGCAGGATAGGAATGTAGAATGGGGATTTCAAATAATCACACAGTTCTCAGTCATTGAATTTAATGTAGAATTTGTCTGAGCATGCTGTATAGGCCGAATAATTCATACAAATTATATGGTACATGTCACAGTGAGTATTTGCTTGATTTGGCTCCAACCCAAGAACACTGGACAAAAAAAGCACCTACCTCAGTGTTTAGCTTCCTCTGTCTTCTGAAAAGCAGTTTTACTCCCTGTTCTTCCTGCCTTTGCAGTGTTGAAAAAGTTTCATGATGAAAACATGTATTGGGGGGGGGAGAGGGAGGGGGCGGAGTGGGTGGTAAGGGAGGGGGTGGGGGCAGGGGGGAGAAATGAACCAAGCCTTGTATGCACATATGAATAATAAAAGAAAAATGAAAAAAAAATTTTAAATGAATTCATGAGTATGAACAGATACCCCTCATCAAGGTGTCAAATGTATACTCAGCAGTTCATTGACTATGAGTAGATTTTTTTTCATACTGCCACTCAGACACTTCCTGATTTGTTGTGGCATTTTCTGTCCCTATTACAATGTTTTTATACCTATTACGATTCTATGAAGTACTCCAGTTTTTCCTTTTATGCTGCCCTTTAAAGGTGAGGGAAGAGAAGAGGCACAGCATCCCACTTTGGGTTTGACCATTTCCTTCCCTGGCCTTGTCAGAGCAGAAGTAGTCTTGAGTCCCTGCATCATGGGGTGCACTGATGGGAACCTGTTTTCAGATGCAGGGACATAGAAATCCATCCCACGATTCCTTGCCATAGTTTTCCAGATGGTATTTGGCTTCTAATCTTATTATTTGGGTTTTAATTTCATCTGCATTGGGTAAGTAAATTTGCTATCGATTTCTGTCACACAGCTTTATAAATTATGAGCAGTTACATATGTTCCAGGTCGACCTTCCTCAGTCAGTTGATACTGAGATGATGTCACCTTACTGTTCCCAAAGCCAACAGTGCTTCTCTCTGCCTGTGGCTTCACACTCCCTTTCTTTGTGCCTCTCCTGATGTCAGAACCCAGGAGCTATTAGGACTGGGACAATAGTTGATGAAAACTCACAGCTCAAACTCAGTACTGCTGTTTTTCCTCACTGTCAAGGAAACATAAATTTGTAGAAGATACAAAAAAATACTCTCAGAAGAGAGTTCCGAGAACACTCTTCTTGAGCACTCGTTACAGGTAGCTTATTCTAAGGAGGTGAATAATATATTGGGAAAAAAACAAAATAAGACTCTGTGAAAAATTTAGAGAGATATTTTATTAAAAGCTAAAAGTGTTGTTTGATAAACATCTTAAGTTCTAAAGCTTCATTATGCTGTGAATCTAGCTGCAGTGGAATTTTAAAAAACATGGTCCTGTATACACTTCATAATTTTGTTATCACTACATTGTTATTGGTTTTATTTCTATAATCAGCATGAAAAATAAAAGTGGTTCTTTAAATTTTTGAAAAAAAATTTTTTTTTTTTTTGGTAGGACTGGTGCTTGAACTCAGGGCCTCACACACTTGCTAGGCAGGTGCTCTACCACTTGAGCCACTCTGCCAGCCCTAAACTTTTGAATTTTCTACAAGTGCATGTAGATAGATGTGTGTGTGTGTGTGTGTGTGTGTGTGTGTGTGTGTGTGTGTGTGTGTAAAGAGGCAAGAGAGGGAGGAAGACCAATTGATTTTTATTCCTTTTTATAGTCTCTAGATAATAATCAGCTTTCAAAACTCTAAACCTTTAATTTCCTCCAGTGTTTTAAAATTAAATTACATGTACCACTGCCTTTATTTTCATGTCATAACATACATTGTGTATTTTATTTGAGGTAGGTCCATTTAAAATCACTTTTTAAATGCACAAGCTGGGGAGTTATTTTGTTACAGTTGGCATGCCATGTCTATTAAATAGCTCCGTGTTTCCTGACTCTGGAACTGGTCTGAGGGGCTGGGCTACTTGGCGGTTCAAGGTGATGGTGGCGTCGGTGCAGCTGTAGACTTCCTCATTAGACAGCAGGTTCTGCCCCCTGAGTGCTGTCTCAGCCTGAAGGGCCGGGCCCAGCACTGTCTAGCTGTTGACTAGATCACCTTAAAGGTGCCTGTTAATCCCGAGATCCCTAGGGTCTTAGCCCTCCTTTTCTAGAATGTCAGTGTTGGGGCCTGGCCAGGCTTAGCACAGGATGTGTTCACAGCTCTCCCTTTTGGATACTGGGAGGGCAGTGTGTTCTGTTAGCTGGACAGCTGACCATCTGTGACCATTTTTAGCAAGAGCATCTGGCAGTGCTGCCTGTTTAACAGAGAGTGGTGTGTCTAGAGGGCAGTAGGTTAAGGGAATCCTATCTGTGTCCCCTGTGGTGAATACTGCTCTCTCTCAGCTTCTGCACACTAAACATGTTCTAACTAGAGCGAGATTGACTAAGTGGGCCTTGGAAATGAAATTTAAACGCTCTGTTTGCTGATTCAGTGTCAATTTTGAGTAACAAACTGATGTCTCAAAATTTCATTTTCATACTAATCCCCTTTCTAATGCCCTTATACACATCCTTTGATTTCCACTTCTGCTAATTAAGTTTTCAATTTAAAAAGTATGTTATTGAGACACAGTCTCCTTGGAAATACACACAGTTCTTTGTTTCTAAAAGAAAGAAAAAGGCAGATGACTTTGTACCTTTCAATTAATTTAACAAGCATATTTTAATATCTTTCTAAGTGAGGCATCATAGTATGACATAAAAAGATGTGACAGATGTAGTCTGTGCTTAAGACAAGAAGTTAAACGAAAAGATATTTAACTGGCTCATTTGTCTAATACTCTTCCAAATACCTGATTCACTAAATTTAGTTAGTTATGAAAGTTATTTTAGAGTATTTTGTTCCTTAAAGTACTTAAGGAGATTCATGTGTTTCTAATAGGATAATATAAATATTGGCAGAGCAGTGGAAATATTTTGACGTTGCTACTTTAAATTTGACTTTGGAATATAGCTTGATTTTAAGTAGAAGTTTTGGGGTATAGAAACAAGCACTAGTCTTGTGATTTAATGTGCTCATGTGATTTGTTCTAAGTGGTGTCTGAGGTGTGTGTGTCAGGATTTTGCATCTTTATAATAATGATTTTCATTTAGGTATTTTTTTCTCAATCCTTTCATTGTTCAGTTACAAGATAACCTGTTATATTTATCACACAGTAAACTGAAGCAAAATTAATAACACACTTACGTTCTCCAATAATAGAAAAAAATTGTTTCTCTCTTTTTTTAATCTATTTTGGAAATTGACTTTAAATTCTGAAATTAGTTTCTAATTGCAAAGAGACTGTTTTCCTAAGGTGATTGTCAGAAACTTGTCTAACAGTTTTGCTAAAAGCTTTGATTGTCTGAATTTTGCTAAAGAGCTTATGCTATTTTGCTTAATTTCACAGCAAGTATCTTAGGAGAATGAGGTGCAGCACCAGTTACGAAGATGCAAGATATTTAAAATCAGTCATATTCAAAGTCAATGTGAGATACTTGCACACCTTTCATCATTCACAGTTTTTTGTTTGTGTGTTTAGAAATCCAAAGTTGGAGCTCCTAGCAAAAAGAAACAGTCCCTGGTTGGTCATTAATTATAAAATCTCATAGCCAGTTTAGAAGGAAGCACGCTAAAATTAAGTCAGACTTCTAGCTGATGTCTGTCACTTTGCTTCTGTGGTTACATCCTACTGGTGAAGCAATTGATACACAGATTCCTTTGCGACCTTTTCTTTAGTGGCGGCAGGAGATTTTGAGGCATATGAAAGACCACTCGGAGAAAACGCACTGAACATCTCCAGAATGATAGCTTCGTTTGGAGGAATTAGAATCATGGTTTATGGACATGTAAGTCATGTTTTTAGGTGAGCAGAGTCTTCAGCGTGAGTTCCCTCATCCATCTCACACAGGGGCCTTAAGTGATGCTCAGAGAACCTCTGCAAACATGCGGCAGGTGGACATCCTTTGATGTGGTGGTGTCACAGATTTCTGACTGCGCCACTTCAAGGTGAAGTCCAAGATACACTCTTGTATAACAAAATCCTCCTTTGCATGAAAGATTGCAAGTACGTTTTTCCACACTGACTCTTAGCCTGCAAAGACATTGCAAATAATCTGGTGCTGTGATACTAACCACCAGATGACGTATCATCACAGACACTAGGATTCTTTTCTTCCAAAGTAACATATAACTAATATAAACATCACTGAACATTCTTTCTAGGTTGGCTTTGACTTCATAAAGCAGTTCTGGTTTCTATCACATCATTTTGCTTTTTTTGGTTTTTTGTTTTGTTTTTTGGTGGTACTGGGGTTTGAACTCAGGGCTTTGCACTTGCTAGACTCTACCACTTGAGCCATACCTCCACTCATGCATTTGTTCTTAACTGATGAGTGTAAAAAGTGCATTGGCACATTTGCTTTTCTTTACCACAGGCAAGATCTTGGGGACATACCTTTTTGGCCTCTCTTCAGTTCTTCCTATGCTG